GAGCACCACGCGGCACGCACGCAAGCGCCAGCTTCCCTCGCGAGTGCCACAGCGCCCCTGTGAGCACAACAACATACCTCTCAGCACCACAGTAGCCTGCGAGCGCCACAGGACGTCCGCGGTCGCCACTGGACGACCGCCGCGACGTGACTATAGTCGGGAGCGGCCAAGAGGGGGGCGTCCAAGAGGGGGGGTGCAAATCATGACTGGCGGCATGTGCGCGGCCCAGCGGGGGGGCCAGGGACGTAATGAAATGAGAAGAGGCGCCATGAAATCTGGGCAAATATCATGGCCCACGCTATGATATCCACCCCCCCTAGTCATCATCCCCCTCTTTTCCGCCCCCGATACAGGGGGGTGGGGGCGGGGCAGGTCACGCGCGTGATCGCCAGGGGCTTCTCCGAACTGGCCCCAGGAGGCACCACAGCGCCCGTGCGAGCAGCGGCCCGCGCCGCACCGTCGGGACGTAGGAGCCGCATCGGATCGGCGGGCCGGCCCGCCGAAGTCGCTCTCGAACCGGATCGAGATCGGATCGAAACGGACCCTGGCTCCGGCAAACTCGAGGCCTGCGTTTTCCCGATCGCTCAGGGCGCGAGAGGGGCCCGCCCGTATGCCTCCTCGAACCTCGATCCCCGGTCCTCGAGCCTCGAAAACCTCGAGCCTCGAACCTCGGACCTCGATTCCTCGATCCTCGATCCCCGATCCCCGAACCTCGATCCCCGCTCCCCGATCCTCGATGCCCGAACCTCGAGCCACGACCCTCGCTCCTCGCGCTCCCACCCCCGACCCTCCACCGCGCCGGCCGCGCCGCGGCGGGCCCTGCGAGGGCGGGGCGGGGGCGCCGAGGTCCCGGCCCACTTGGCAGAGGCCCTGATCTGCACGGCGCGGAGGTCCCCCCCTGCGGGCCGCGCCGGGCCAGGCGGGGGGCGACCCTCGGCGGCAAGCGACAGGCCTCGGAAGAAAATAGCGAACACTCGTGCCACATTCCTCTGTGAACGCCTCCCCCGCCCCCCGATGTTTAAAGTTGGCGGTGGGTCTGATGAGCTGCACCTCGACCGCAGTCTCCCCGCGCGTGCCAACTTTGAGCTTGGGGGGCAGAAGGGGGTGTTCACTAATTGTTTCCCTCTACCGGTGGGGGGGAAGCGAGAAGGACAAGGCCTTTTTCTCAAAAGGCTCGGGCGTCCCCCTGGCCTGCTGAGAAGTTTGTTCTCTGAGCCTCCCCCGAGGACAGACCAAGAAGCCTCTCGGAAGGCGCGAGGGCCTCTGCGAAGCCCCGCCGCCTTCTGAGAAGGCTTTCTCCTCATCATTCCCCCCTCGCTCGCCGCCGGTCAGGCATGTCCTCCTACAGGCGGACTGCGGAGGAAGACTTCAGAATAGTCAAGAAATATTCAAACATCGTCGAAAAACCGTGCCCCGACTATTTGTTGACTACTTTTCGACTAGAGGGACATGCCCGGCTTCAGGCTGTCGGGGGCGCAACGGGGGCACGCCCCGGCGCTGCGGCGGGCGCGCGCGGCGTGGGGGCTCTCGGCCTGCGGCGACCCGTGGGAGCCTCCGATACAGGCCTCGGAAAAAAGTAGTGAACACGCATGCCGACTACCTACCAGACCACCCCAACCCAACCCGAAGACCAGAACTTCGGGTTGGGGGGGGGTACGGGTTCCATGTGTGTTTTTGACCATGTTCCCCGACCTTCGGGTTGGGTTGGGGTCGTTTGGTGGGTGGTGACGTGCCGCGTTCCTCGGTCCGCGCCTCCCCCGCCCCCCAGCGTTCAAAGCTGGCGGTGGGTCTGACGAGTTGCACTTCTCGACCGCCAGTGTCCCCCGCGCGCGCCAACTGTGAGCTTGGGGGAGCTGGGGAGCGTCCACGAACGATTCCCCCCTGCCGTACCAGCTTGCTGGCTCTTGCGAGTCGACGACACTCGATGCTAAATCGACGCCAACCACATCGACGCTAAGTCGACGCTGATCCACGCTAAATCGGCGCTACACCATCGAACGATCGGAGGCCTCTCAGCAGAGCGGATCGCTCAACGTTGGCCGAGTCTGGGCGGCGTGCAGCGGCGAGCGCATGCGGCGGGGTCGATGCTGCGGCGAGGTCGCCGCGGCGTGGACGCGGCACGAGGCTACAGGACCGGCACTGCGTTGAGGTCGGGCGTGTCCTCCTACAGGGGCATTTGGGACGACACGTCAAAAGTGCTCCAAAACTGCCCCCAAGTGGTCAAAAAGAGTCCCAAAATCGTCCCCGTCATATTTTTTGGGGCTATCTTCGAACATCCCTCCTGTAGAAGAGGACAGGCCCGACTTCACGCTGTGCGGCTCTGCCGGAGGCGCCCGTCCGGCCCGCACCCGCACGCGCCGCGCAGCGCAACACCTCCGGGGCACGTCGCCACCGGAGCGGCAGGAGCCCGGAGCGCCCCCCGCGGAGGGGGGGGGGGCACACCGCCCGCCAGGGCGGCGGCGGGCACCTCGAGTCCCCGAGCGAACCGCGGGGCGGTGGGGGGGGTCGCCGAGGCGGGCCCTGCGAGGGCGGGGCGGGGGCGCCGAGGTCCCGGCCCACTTGGCAGAGGCCCTGATCTGCACGGCGCGGAGGTCCCCCCCTGCGGGCCGCGCAGGGCCAGGCGGGGGCTACCCTCGGCGGCAAGCGACAGGCCTCGGAAGAAAATAGCGAACACTCGTGCCACATTCCTCTGTGAACGCCTCCCCCGCCCCCCGATGTTCAAAGTGGGCGGTGGGTCTGATGAGCTGCACCTCGACCGCGGTCTCCCCCGCGCGTGCCAACTTTGAGCTTGGGGGGCAGAAGGGGGTGTTCACTACTTGCTTCCCTCTACCGGAGGGGGGGAAGCGTCCCCCTGGCCTGCTGAGAAGTTTGTTCTCTGAGCCTCCCGCGCGAGGGCCTCTGCGAAGCCCCGCCGCCTTCTGAGAAGGCTTTCTCCTCCTCACTCCCCCCCTCGCTCGCCGCTGGTCAGGCATGTCCTCCTACAGGCGGACTGCGGAGGAAGAATTCAGAATAGTCAAAAAACATTCAAACATATTCGAAAAACCGTGCCCATACTATTTTTTGACTACTTTTCGACTAGAGGGACATGCCCGGCTTCAGGCTGTCGGGGGCGCAACGGGGGCACGCCACGAATTTCGGGTTGGGGGGGGGTACGGGTTCCATGTGTGTTTTTGACCATGTTCCCCGACCTTCGGGTTGGGTTGGGGTCGTTTGGTGGGTGGTGACGTGCCGCGTTCCTCGGTCCGCGCCTCCCCCGCCCCCCAGCGTTCAAAGCTGGCGGTGGGTCTGACGAGTTGCACTTCTCGACCGCCAGTGTCCCCCGCGCGCGCCAACTGTGAGCTTGGGGGAGCTGGGGAGCGTCCACGAACGATTCCCCCCTGCCGTACCAGCTTGCTGGCTCTTGCGAGTCGACGACACTCGATGCTAAATCGACGCCAACCACATCGACGCTAAGTCGACGCTGATCCACGCTAAATCGGCGCTACACCATCGAACGATCGGAGGCCTCTCAGCAGAGCGGATCGCTCAACGTTGGCCGAGTCTGGGCGGCGTGCAGCGGCGAGCGCATGCGGCGGGGTCGATGCTGCGGCGAGGTCGCCGCGGCATGGACGCGGCACGAGGCTACAGGACCGGCACTACGTTGAGGTCGGGCGTGGCCTCCTACAGGGGGAGTTGGGACGAAACGTAGAAAATGCTCGAAAAAACTACCCCCAAGTGGTCAAAAACAGTCCCAAAATCGTCCCCGTCATATTTTTTGGGGCTATCTTCGAACATCCCTCCTGTAGAAGAGGACAGGCCCGACTTCACGCTGTGCGGCTCTGCCGGAGGCGCCCGTCCGGCCCGCACCCGCACGCGCCGCGCAGCGCAACACCTCCGGCACGTCGCCACCGGAGCGGCAGGAGCCCGGAGCGCCCCCCGCGGAGGGGGGGGGCACACCGCCCGCCAGGGCGGCGGCGGGCACCTCGAGTCGCCGAGCGAACCGCGGGGCGGTGGGGGGTGTCGCCGAGGCGGGCCCTGCGAGGGCGGGGCGGGGGCGCCGAGGTCCCGGCCCACTTGGCAGAGGCCCTGATCTGCACGGCGCGGAGGTCCCCCCCTGCGGGCCGCGCAGGGCCAGGCGGGGGCTACCCTCGGCGGCAAGCGACAGGCCTCGGAAGAAAATAGCGAACACTCGTGCCACATTCCTCTGTGAACGCCTCCCCCGCCCCCCGATGTTCAAAGTGGGCGGTGGGTCTGATGAGCTGCACCTCGACCGCGGTCTCCCCCGCGCGTGCCAACTTTGAGCTTGGGGGGCAGAGGGGGGTGTTCACTACTTGCTTCCCTCTACCGGAGGGGGGGAAGCGTCCCCCTGGCCTGCTGAGAAGTTTGTTCTCTGAGCCTCCCGCGCGAGGGCCTCTGCGAAGCCCCGCCGCCTTCTGAGAAGGCTTTCTCCTCCTCACTCCCCCCCTCGCTCGCCGCCGGTCAGGCATGTCCTCCTACAAGCGGACTGCGGAGGAAGAATTCAGAATAGTCAAAAAATATTCAAACATAGTCGAAAAACCGTGCCCATACTATTTGTTGACTACTTTTCGACTAGAGGGACATGCCCGGCTTCAGGCTGTCGGGGGCGCAACGGGGGCACGCCACGAATTTCGGGTTGGAGGGGGTACGGGTTCCATGTGTTTTTGTCAATGTTCCCCGACCTTCGGGTTGGGTTGGGGTCGTTTGGTGGGTGGTGACATGCCACGTTCCTCGGTCCACGCCTCCCCCGCCCCCCAGCGTTCAAAGCTGGCGGTGGGTCTGACGAGTTGCACTTCTCGACCGCCAGTGTCCCCCGCGCGCGCCAACTGTGAGCTTGGGGGAGCGGGGGGAGCGTCCACGAACGATTCCCCCCTGCCGTACCAGCTTGCTGGCTCTTGCGAGTCGACGCCACTCGACGCTAAATCGACGCCAACCACATCGACGCTGAGTCGACGCTGATCCACGCTACATCGGCGCTACACCATCGAACGATCGGAGGCCTCTCAGCAGAGCGGATCGCTCAACGTTGGCCGAGTCTGGGCGGCGTGCAGCGGCGAGCGCATGCGGCGGGATCGATGCTGCGGCGAGGTCGCCGCGGCATGGACGCGGCACGAGGCTACAGGACCGGCACTGCGTTGAGGTCGGGCGTGTCCTCCTACAGGGGGATTTGGGACGACACGTCAAAAGTGCTCCAAAACTGCCCCCAAGTGGTCAAAAAGAGTCCCAAAATCGTCCCCGTCATATTTTTTGGGGCTATCTTCGAACATCCCTCCTGTAGAAGAGGACAGGCCCGACTTCACGCTGCGCGGCTCTGCCGGAGGCGCCCGTCCGGCCCGCACCCGCACGCGCCGCGCAGCGCAACACCTCCGGCACGTCGCCACCGGAGCGGCAGGAGCCCGGAGCGCCCCCCGCGGAGGGGGGGGGCACCCCGCCCGCCAGGGCGGCGGCGGGCACCTCGAGTCGCCGAGCGAACCGCGGGGCGGTGGGGGGGGTCGCCGAGGCGGGCCCTGCGAGGGCGGGGCGGGGGCGCCGAGGTCCCGGCCCACTTGGCAGAGGCCCTGATCTGCACGGCGCGGAGGTCCCCCCCTGCGGGCCGCGCAGGGCCAGGCGGGGGCTACCCTCGGCGGCAAGCGACAGGCCTCGGAAGAAAATAGCGAACACTCGTGCCACATTCCTCTGTGAACGCCTCCCCCGCCCCCCGATGTTCAAAGTGGGCGGTGGGTCTGATGAGCTGCACCTCGACCGCGGTCTCCCCCGCGCGTGCCAACTTTGAGCTTGGGGGGCAGAGGGGGGTGTTCACTACTTGCTTCCCTCTACCGGAGGGGGGGAAGCGTCCCCCTGGCCTGCTGAGAAGTTTGTTCTCTGAGCTCCGCGCGAGGGCCTCTGCGAAGCCCCGCCGCCTTCTGTGAAGGCTTTTCTCCTCCTCATCCCCCCTCGCTCGCCGGTCGGTCAGGCATGTCCTCCTACAAGCGGACTGCGGAGAGGAGAATTCAGAATAGTCAAAAAATATTCAAACATAGTCGAAAAACCGTGCCCATACTATTTGTGGACTACTTTTCGACTAGAGGGACATGCCCGGCTTCAGGCTGTCGGGGGCGCAACGGGGGCACGCCACGAATTTCGGGTTGGAGGGGGTACGGGTTCCATGTGTTTTGTCAATGTTCCCCGACCTTCGGGTTGGGTTGGGGTCGTTTGGTGGGTGGTGACATGCCACGTTCCTCGGTCCACGCCTCCCCCGCCCCCCAGCGTTCAAAGCTGGCGGTGGGTCTGACGAGTTGCACTTCTCGACCGCCAGTGTCCCCCGCGCGCGCCAACTGTGAGCTTGGGGGAGCGGGGGAGCGTCCACGAACGATTCCCCCCTGCCGTACCAGCTTGCTGGCTCTTGCGAGTCGACGCCACTCGACGCTAAATCGACGCCAACCACATCGACGCTAAGTCGACGCTGATCCACGCTACATCGGCGCTACACCATCGAACGATCGGAGGCCTCTCAGCAGAGCGAATCGCTCAACATTGGCCGAGTCTGGGCGGCGTGCAGCGGCGAGCGCATGCGGCGGGATCGATGCTGCGGCGAGGTCGCCGCGGCATGGACGCGGCACGAGGCTACAGGACCGGCACTGCGTTGAGGTCGGGCGTGTCCTCCTACAGGGGGATTTGGGACGACACGTCAAAAGTGCTCCAAAACTGCCCCCAAGTGGTCAAAAAGAGTCCCAAAATCGTCCCCGTCATATTTTTTGGGGCTATCTTCGAACATCCCTCCTGTAGAAGAGGACAGGCCCGACTTCACGCTGCGCGGCTCTGCCGGAGGCGCCCGTCCGGCCCGCACCCGCACGCAGACAGCGCAGCGAAGCACCTCCGGCACGTCGCCACCGGAGCGGCAGGAGCCCGGAGCGCCCCCCGCGGAGGGGGGGGGCACACCGCCCGCCAGGGCGGCGGCGGGCACCTCGAGTCCCCGAGCGAACCACGGGGCGGTGGGGGGGGTCGCCGAGGCGGGCCCTGCGAGGGCGGGGCGGGGGCGCCGAGGTCCCGGCCCACTTGGCAGAGGCCCTGATCTGCACGGCGCGGAGGTCCCCCCCTGCGGGCCGCGCAGGGCCAGGCGGGGGCTACCCTCGGCGGCAAGCGACAGGCCTCGGAAGAAAATAGCGAACACTCGTGCCACATTCCTCTGTGAACGCCTCCCCCGCCCCCCGATGTTCAAAGTGGGCGGTGGGTCTGATGAGCTGCACCTCGACCGCGGTCTCCCCCGCGCGTGCCAACTTTGAGCTTGGGGGGCAGAGGGGGGTGTTCACTACTTGCTTCCCTCTACCGGAGGGGGGGAAGCGTCCCCCTGGCCTGCTGAGAAGTTTGTTCTCTGAGCCTCCCGCGCGAGGGCCTCTGCGAAGCCCCGCCGCCTTCTGAGAAGGCTTTCTCCTCCTCACTCCCCCCCTCGCTCGCCGCCGGTCAGGCATGTCCTCCTACAAGCGGACTGCGGAGGAAGAATTCAGAATAGTCAAAAAATATTCAAACATAGTCGAAAAACCGTGCCCATACTATTTGTGGACTACTTTTCGACTAGAGGGACATGCCCGGCTTCAGGCTGTCGGGGGCGCAACGGGGGCACGCCACGAATTTCGGGTTGGAGGGGGTACGGGTTCCATGTGTTTTTGTCAATGTTCCCCGACCTTCGGGTTGGGTTGGGGTCGTTTGGTGGGTGGTGACATGCCACGTTCCTCGGTCCACGCCTCCCCCGCCCCCCAGCGTTCAAAGCTGGCGGTGGGTCTGACGAGTTGCACTTCTCGACCGCCAGTGTCCCCCGCGCGCGCCAACTGTGAGCTTGGGGGAGCGGGGGAGCGTCCACGAACGATTCCCCCCTGCCGTACCAGCTTGCTGGCTCTTGCGAGTCGACGCCACTCGACGCTAAATCGACGCCAACCACATCGACGCTAAGTCGACGCTGATCCACGCTACATCGGCGCTACACCATCGAACGATCGGAGGCCTCTCAGCAGAGCGAATCGCTCAACATTGGCCGAGTCTGGGCGGCGTGCAGCGGCGAGCGCATGCGGCGGGATCGATGCTGCGGCGAGGTCGCCGCGGCATGGACGCGGCACGAGGCTACAGGACCGGCACTGCGTTGAGGTCGGGCGTGTCCTCCTACAGGGGGATTTGGGACGACACGTCAAAAGTGCTCCAAAACTGCCCCCAAGTGGTCAAAAAGAGTCCCAAAATCGTCCCCGTCATATTTTTTGGGGCTATCTTCGAACATCCCTCCTGTAGAAGAGGACAGGCCCGACTTCACGCTGCGCGGCTCTGCCGGAGGCGCCCGTCCGGCCCGCACCCGCACGCAGACAGCGCAGCGAAGCACCTCCGGGGCACATTGCCCACCGGAGCGGCAGGAGCACGGGGCGCCCCCCGCGGAGGGGGGGGGGCACACCGCCCGCCAGGGCGGCGGCGGGCACCTCGAGTCCCCGAGCGAACCGCGGGGCGGTGGGGGGGCACTCGTGCCACATTCGTCTGTGAACGCCTCCCCCGCCCCCCGATGTTCAGAGTGGGCGGTGGGTCTGATGAGCTGCACCTCGACCGCGGTCTCCCCCGCGCGTGCCAACTTTGAGCTTGGGGGGCAGAGGGGGATGTTCACTACTTGCTTCCCTCTACCGGAGGGGGGGAAGCGTCCCCCTGGCCTGCTGAGAAGTTTGTTCTCTAAGCCTCCCCCGAGGACAGACCAAGAAGCCTCTCGGAAGGCGCGAGGGGGTGTTCACTACTTGTTTCCCTCTACCGGATCAAGGCGAGAGGTCCTGACGTCGCCCATGGTACGCACTGGGCGCTCTCGCCCCGCTTCGGGGCTCGGGGCCCTCGCGGGCAGAGGTCCAGCTCGAGAAGCGCCGCGGAAGGAGCGGGTCTGGGGCTCCGGTCGCGACTTCTCACGATTTTTTCGCGACGTCGGATCTCAGGTCACGACGGCGCAGAAGAGGGCCTTCAGCCGACGCTCGCCGGAGAGCGAGAGGCGGAGGGAGCGCGTCTGCCCGCCCCGACCCTTCCCTTTCCTCTGCGCGTCGGGTCCATGCGTCTGGCGCCCACCCCTTCCCGCTGCAATACTATCCGCCACCGTGCCGCTAGGCACGGAGTGGGCATGTCCTCAGGTCCTTGGCCTGATCCCTTATGCGTCAGTCCTCGATCCTGAGAAGTCTTTGAGGGCCCGGACCCCAAATTGCCAAATCTTCCTGGGCTTGGCGCATGCCCCCTGGGTTCCAGGCATCTCCCCGCGTGACTTTTCGAGCCCGACGAGGGCCCCCAGGCGGGCCAAGAGGCCCCCGAGAGGCCCCCAAGAAGGCCCAAGAGGGCCCCGAGTCGCTGAACGACCGGTCCAAGTGCCAAGATGGCCCCAGGACAGCCCAAGAAGCCTTCGCAACATTCCCAGAGAGACCCAAGAGCCTTCCCAAGAGGGCCCCGAGAGGCCAAAGTCATGTATTTTGCAGAAGTGTTTCAGTATTCGTAAGGTTCTCCACTTTTCTAGGTTCCGACGCTCCAAGACGTCCCAAGAGCCCCCAAGACCGCCACAGGAATGCCCCAGAGAATCCCAAGAGGGCCCCAAGACGGCCAAAAAGGGCCCCATGACGGCCCAAGAAGCGCCCGAGACAGCCAAGAGGGCCCCAAGACGGCCCCAAGAGGGGGAACACGAACCGAAAATCCGAGCCTCAAGAGGCGCCTAGGAGGCCCAAAGAGGCCACCAAGAGGCCCCCAAGAGGCCCCCACTAGGCCCCAAGAAGCCCCCAAGAGGCCCAAAAGAGGCCCCCAAAGGCCCCAAAATAGCCCCCCCGAGGCCTCAAAACTGCCTCCACGAGGCCCCCGAGAGGCCTCGACGAGATCCCAACAACCATCTAAGAGGCCTCAGACCCACAACCCCAGGCACGGTGGCGGGATGGGCCGCAGGCCATTAAGATCCGCCGCCCCCTGTCGATTCATCGCAGGGGTGCCTGGCGTGCTTGACCCTTTCGGTTTTGGTTTTGGTCTTTTTCCAAAAGAACTCCCCCTGGGGCTTCGGCCCGTCCCGCCGGCCACCCGAAAGGTTGCCGAAAATGCCCAGGTGGTTCCCCCTGTCGCGTCCAAGACGGTCAAGATTGCCCAAGATGGCCTCCAAGATGCGTCCAAGACGGCCAAGATGGCCTCCAAGACGGCTCAGATGGCCCCAAGCTGCCTCCAAGACGGCCCAAGATGGACCAAGAGGCCTCCAAGAGGCCTCCAAGATGGCCCAAGAGGCCTCGAAAAGGTCCTCCAGGCTGCTCAAGGACGGCCCGAAGAGGTCAAAATCATTGATTTTCTTGACGGCCCAAGAGGACATCAAGATCGCCCAAGAAGCCTCCAAGACGGCCCCAGGACGGCCCAAGAGGCCCCCAAGAGGCCCCCAAGACGGCCCCAAGACGGCCCCAAGACGGCCCAAGAGGCCCCCAAGAAGACCCAGGTGGCCTCAAAGACTGCCAAGATGGCCTCCAAGATGGCTTCCTAGACGGCCAAGAAGGCCTCCAAGACGGCCAAGATGGCTCCAAGATGCACCCAAGACGGCCCCAGATGGCCTGAAGAGGGCCTTCGACTGCCCAAAAGGCCCGCCAGATGCCTCCAAGACGGCCCAAGATCCCTCCAAGACGTCCTCCAGGAAGTCACGACATGGTTAAAATCATTGATTGTTCTAAGGTATTTGAAGGATTTTGGCTTTTGCTCCTTTTCAGCTCTCCGACGGCCCAAGACGGCCCAAGCGGCCCCCAACATCGATCCAAGAGCGCCCAAGAGGCCTCCAAGATTACCCCATGACAGCCCAAGAGGCCCCCAAGAGGGCCCCAAGAAGGCCCCAAGACGGCCCAAGAGGTCCCCAAGACGACCAAGATGGCCTCCAAGACGGCCAAGATGGCCTCCAAGATGCCTCCAAGACGGCCAAGATGGCCTCCAAGACAATGAAAATGGCCCCAAGATGCACCCAAGACAGCCCCAGATGGCCTAAAGATGGCCTTCGACTGCCCAAAAGGCCCGCCAGAGGCCTCCAAGAAGGCCCAAGACCCCTCCAAGACGTCCTCCAGGAGGCCCGAAAGCTTGGAAACTACCTGGTCTGATAGCTCGCCCGACTCGGTGTTCCCCGAAGGTTTTCGAAACCCACTCGGGGAACGCGTGGCCCAATAGCTTGGCCAAGCTCAAACCCAACTTTCGGCCACGCAGGCGCTTCCAAAAAGGCAGGGGGCGGCGGTGATTCGCCGTAGGCGTCTTCGATAGCGCTCCACCCACGAACGTCGACGATGGCATTCCCCCAGGCCCTCTCCAGTGCCCTTTCCCACCGCCCTCCAGATCGGCATCATCCCCGGCCACTCCGCCGCTGCGGCCGGGAAGGCTCGGGCAAGTGAGTGGCAAGCGCCTGCTGCGCTGAGTGGAACACTGGCCCGTGCAGATCAGCCCCCTTCGGAGATCGGCCGACATCCCCCGCGCGACAGCGGAAGGAGGGAGGGAGGGGAGGGGAGGGAGCGGGGGGGCGGGCGATGCGCCTGGCCCTGGTGGACACCAAGCCTCAAGCGGGTCTGGTGCCGGGGCCGCGGATTCAGAGCACGAGGGAGGGAGGGAGGCAGGGGAGGGAGGCGGGGAGGGAGGCGGGGGAGGGAGGGAGGGACGAGGGGAGACTCCGGAGACCCCGCTTGATCGCATAGCGATATGTGTAGTCCACATGCACCATCGCTTGAAGGTGCTGTTCTTCCTCTGGGATTGCTTGGCTTTGCTGAGAACTTTGAGCAAGAATTCCAAACTGGTTCGTCTGAAATAATCGCGTCCCGTGTCAGTGTACGGCTTGTACGGCTCGGCTAGCTTCCCGATATGTTGGGACGCAGCCTAGCCTGGAACCTAGGACCCACCCCCAACCCACCCCCCGCGATATGTACCTGCTTTCCAAGAGGGGTCTCTTCCAATGCCGCACTTATGCGGATATAACACTCTGCTTTCATCCATTCCCCTCGCTTGGTTTCGATGGCTGAATTGTGGCATCTACTGCGCCCACGTTCGAGCTCGTCCAACTGATGGGCGGAGGTGAAAACAGCACAGATGGTGGGGGCACGGGGCAGGCTGGATGGAGGAGGAGGAGGAGGAGTAGGATAATCAATGGAGGAGGAGGAGGAGGAGGAGAAGACGAAGAAGGAGGAAAAGGGGGGGGAGTAGGAGACGCTCGCCTCCGTCTGCGGGGGCGTCGCACTTCATGCCCCCGTGCTCCTCGACCTCCACAGGCGCTCCCCGGGAGCCACGGAGGGAGGCGCACCAGGCCGAGGATATCCCTGGGGGTGACTCCGCGTATTGTCTTCACACCGAACATGTCAGAAGTTGCGCGTCAGCGCCGTGCACATGAATCCAAAAAGTGTGCGGCAACAGTTGCACGGATGGAGGGAGGGGTCAAATGTGGCACATTCGTTTTCAATGCTTGCAACAGCTACACGGATGTTGGGGGGCGATTTCAAAATTTGGCTCTCGCCCTAGCGCCGCGCACATTCGGCTCAGAAGCTTGCAACAGTTTCACGGATGGGGGGGTCGTTTCCAAAGTGTAGCCCATTCGTCTCAAAAGCTTGCGACAGTTGCACGGATGGAAGGGGGGGCGTTTCCAAAGGGTGGCTCTCGCCTTGGCTCCGCGCACGCGTCTTTCAAGCTCAAAACTTAAAACACGCGCAAAGATGGAGGGCGGCTCCCTTTCATCATGTGGCTCTCGCCGTAGCACCGCGAACATCCGTCTTGATGTGGGACGGCTCCTTCTCGAACTTGGGCCATCGTCTTCAAAATGAGGATACCGCTGGACGCCTCGATTAGCTGTACTGATCATACCTCTTCCCGGTCCTTTCGCCTTGCTAGAAGCATGCACGTAAAATCCTGTTCAAAACGGGATTATCGCATGAATGGTAGACGGCAGACACATAGGGGGCCGGACTCTCAAGAGGGCACTTATTCTAGTGACATGGAAGGCTTGTATGGACTTATGCGGAGGGGACCTGGGATGGGAGGGTATGTTGCAGCATCGTTGATGCTTCGTGGGGTTATTCCGGTCCTCCTCCTCATCGTCCTCCTCCCCCTCCTTCTCTGGTGGCTCCTCATCCTCCTTCTCCTCCTCCTCCTCCTCCTCTTGCTCCTCCTCCTCCTCCCATCCTCTTTCAAGAAAGCGCTACTGGACTTCGTGCTCACACTTCCCCAGCATGCATCGCAGTCAACTTATTGGAGAGAGAGACGACAAGGCTCAGAGGATGAAAAGTGAAAAGGAAGAGGAGGAAAAGCGCCAGGTTAACAGACGACAAACTCTGGACTGCTAGAAGAAACGACTAGCCAAAGACCTTCTTGCACGCCTTCTCCTGAAAGGCCCTAACGCTGTCCATGCTCCAAGACGGCGGCAAGTTTATGATGTAGTCGTGCTGCTCGTCGTCTTCGGAGTCTTCCCCGTAAATTTTGGACTTCCCTGCGCTTGACTCTGCCGCTTCGTCTTGATCGGCGAGCTCGTCCGCACCCGTGTCGCCCTCGATTTCTTGATTTTGCGCAGCATGCATCCTCGAGCTGCCAAGTACAACATTACAGCGGAAAGTACACACATCACAGAGTGCGCAGTACCAAGGACTATGAACCACGAACCATGGACTACAGGACAAGAGACTATGGCGAGCCGGTGGCACCAACGGCACCAGCAAGGGCATGAACGAGACGGCGGTCGCAGCTTCAGCGGCTCGCGCCCCGAAACTCCCTCGACCTGCTCGCTCACCCTGCTTCCACTCTCCCCCCCCCCTCCTCCTCATCCTCCTCCAACTCCTCCTCCCACTCCTCCACCTCCTCCCAGTCCTCCTGCTCCCCCTCCTCACCCTCCTGCAACTCCTCCCACTCCTCCCCCCTCCTCCCGCTCCTGACACTCCTCCCACTTCTCCTCCCCGCCTCAAAAATCACCCCGCGGACCCCCTCCAGGGGTGAGCTCTGGGCAGAAGATTGTCGAGGCGACTCTGAAGGCCCAGAAAACGCCAAAAGCGCACAAAGAGCCCAAACTCCGATCCTCTGACTCCAGTCCTTCCCTAGAGGCCTCCCACATGGGGTCCGAGCAAATGGGGTCGGAGGATTGCGCCGCATCGCCGATGAATCAGCGATGTATCGGTGATGCATCGGCTACGTCGGCGACACATCAGCCGCCAGCGTGGAGAAAATGGGGCTCCACATCGAACCGCATGGGTGTTGCATCAGCGATGCGGCGCAATCCTTGGACCCCACCTGCTCGCACCCGGCTCAGATCCTCCTTGCCCCGCCCCCCCCCCCCCCTTGGCGCCGATGGCCCAGGGCGTCCATGCGGCGCAGGGGCGCCCGAGGGCAGGCGCGCTGGGGGGGGAGGGGGGGGGGACGAGGGATGAGAGAGGAGCGAGGAAGGAGTGCGAGGGAAGAGAAGGGAGAGGAGTTGGCGCAGGAGGCGGAGGAGGAACAGGATGGGGAGCACGATGAGGACGAGGAGGAGGAGACGGAAGACTAGGGCGGGGAATGTGCATGGTTACCACAGTTGGCCGCCAGCGCTGTCGCGGACGAAGGGACGTGGGAGAGAGGAGGCGAGGCGAGGGGGGGACGGAGAGGTCGGACGGTGAGGAGCCTGCCCACACACAGCTCGTCCTCTCCCCTCCCATCTCGTGCCCCCTCCCCTCCCAGTTGGGGAGATGCAGCAGCTGACCGAGTGGCCCTCGTTGCGATCGCTCTCGGGCCAGGGGCCACAGACTGTGGGCTTGCCAGCATGCTATATCACGGCAGGCCACGTTGCGAGAGACCAAAGGAGGCAACATCCAAACCACAAGTTTAGAGATGGTACGCAATGAGACGAGCGGCAAGGTCGCGGAGCTCAAACCGTATTGAAAGGGCCAGGCTTCCTTGCAGCCCTTCTGCTTCTGCTCGCAGCACCAACGCTTCTTGTCTTGGGACCATCCTTCTCGCCAGTTGGCATACCCGGAGTTGCAGTTGAACTCCACGCACCCCTGAGGCGGCACCGGCATCAGATGGAGGAGGGAATGCTGCCTCCCTGCCGCCTGACGCTGCCTCTTTGCATCCTTCACTATACTTCACATGTCTCCACGCTCAGGTTCGCCCTGCCAGTTCGCTCACTTGCCTTTCAAATGAGGTGCCCAACGATGTGCATGGTAGGCTCCTCAAACATACACATCTCAACGATCCTGAAGTTGCCGCGACCCTCGGAGATCGTCATCACCATGAGTAGCGCAGACGAGAGCACAAATAGAGGATGCAAGCAGAGAGAATCGACGCCATCTTCGCTTCACACGCACGCGTCGAAATTGCCCGCAGGGCTAACAGCACGGGGCACCCGGAACGGTCTCTGACCATGGAGTCCACAACCAAACGGGACCCCCTGGGGCCGAGGCAGCGAAGCCCGACCACGGAGCACGTTTAGAATGGACGGTACACCCTGCGAAATGCTTAAGAAATCATGGGTTAAGAAAATCAGAATCTCAGAATTTGAATCGAAACCCAGAACTTCTATCAAAATCTTAGGATGTACATTGAAACGTTAAGAATAATCGAGACTCTGGCCGAAAACGTAAGTTTTCTTCAGCATCGCCCAGGGTATAGAAGTCGAGAAGGAAGGATGCAGGGAAAGGAAAGTTTGAGGAGGATGGGAGAACGGGTGGGTACGGGAGGGGAGAAGGAGCAGCCAACGGATGCACCGCCGCGACGCCGCTGGCTTTGGAGTGAAGCGCGTGCGCCTTGCTCTCCTTCTCGCAGCACCAGCTCTTCTTCTCCTTGGACCAACCGGCCCTGAAGTTGGCCAAGCCTTCGTCGCAGTCGAACTCCTCCCTTCCCTTACAGCGCGACTGAGAGCCTGGCAGGCTGCGTTGCAGAGACCGTCCTAAACCATCTCACGAACAAATGACGAGTTCTACTGTCGGCTGCGATGCTTCAAGCTCGCATGCCTGGTTAGAAGCGCCAGATCGCGCGAGGCCTAGTAAGCAAATGCCGAGACACGAACAGCATCACGAGAAGACAGTGTGCCAGCAAGCAAGGTGCATGAACCCGGCAGAGAGCGGGTGCCCGAGCGACTTTGCTTTGTCCCTGCGCGCGCTCATCCGTCTGGATGTCGTGTCTCTGGGGGCCGCACTCGGAGGCCGCGCTCGGAGGCCACGCTGGGGGGCCCACGCCTGGAGGCCACGCGGAAGGGGCCACGCTGGGGGGCCACGCGGGGGGGCCACGCTGAGGGGCCCCCGCGGGGGGGGGGGGAGGGAGACACGCTCGGGGGCCACGCTTGGGGGCCACGCCGGGAGGCCACGCCAGAGGGGGGGGGCGGCTTGCGCAACAGCGGGCGGCGTGTCCGTAGCGGTCTCGGCTCGAGCGCCGCTGGCAGGGAGCGCCCAGTGCACCCAGCCTCTGTCCGGCAGCTGGCGGGCGAAGTGCACCAGCAGCCACGCGTCAGAACGCCAGCGAGCCTACGGCAGGTTCGTTTCGTGCCGGCTTCGGCGGAGGTCTCTGACACCGCGGGGATCGTGCCACCTTGCACGATCTTCCGTTTCCGAAACCTCCGATCGTTTGACGTCGACAGATTCTGGGCCGCCGGCGGCGCTCAACGTAGCATGCGGGCGGCGGGGTCGCCACAGGTCGACACGACTCGAACCTACCGTCAATGATGATGTCCGAAAAGCCAGCCTCACAAGGCTCGAAGAATCAATGCGGGCGAGCGTGGGTCCTGAGCAGAGCTCCACACGAACGCACGCAGGCATCACGCACACGCACGGAAAGCGTTCGCGGGTCGCTCTGGGGGGCTGCGAAAAAGGAGCAAGAGGACGAGATGGAGGAGGGAGGATGGAGGAGGGATGGGGGAGGAGGAGGATGGATAAGGATGGAGGGGGAGGGGGAGTGGCGTGGCCGCAGTCTCCTATGTTAGCACCCCCGGGAGGGCCCCTGGGCCCTTCGACACGCGATCCACACCTGGGTTCACGCGCACGGTGAAGCGGGGAAGGTCATAGTTGGTAGGCAACTCCTGAGAGGTTGCGTGGGAACGATTCAAAATCATTGAACCCGATTGAGGGGTCGTTATACCAGATTCGGCCACAGATTGGGCATTGGATAAGGAACCATTGGATAATGAACCCAGAGTCTGGAAGTCGGTGGAACTCCAATCATGGCTTGGCCATGGATGTCACTGCCGCCCTCATCAGATGAAGCATCCCCCGGGGTCTGAAGCCTCCTCGGCACATTCCATAACCAACGCCCCCACCGTAAGCCCGATCGAATCGGATCCAGCCAGACCAGGCGAGACTCGCCATGCTTAGGCTGGATGTCGGCCTCTAATATACCAGCGCCGATGCTGGGTCGTACCTCCCAGGAGCTGCAATCTATCCTGGGAGAGTTGCGGCGGGGCGTCGGTTTGGCACGAGCAGCCGCAGCTGCTGCCGCACAAGAACTCAGAACACACCCGTCGAGAGCCGGGGAAGGAGGTGACGGGGGGGAAGCGAGGAGGGGGGAGGGCTGGGCGAGGCCTTCCGCCCCGCACTGGGGCAGGGGCGCGGGTCACAGCGGGGGGCGCTGTGGAGGAGGACTTGTTGAGTAGACGAGACAGGGTCTCGCGGCGGAGCGATGGCTAATAATCATGAGGAGATCCTGGGCCCTCTCCCTGGCCAGGTCAAAATCAGGAACGATCCGAGGCCTGCACCGCAAAATCAACCACAAAAGGCCACGAGTTCGGTGGCAACTCATGGGAGCCTCCCATGGATCTTGTCGGCACTTGCGAATCGACGCTACTCGACGCTAAGTCGACGCTTACCGACGCTAAATCGGCGCTATCCCATCGACTACAAGACGCGATTTGACACTAATCGACGCTAAAAACGGAATTAAGAGGATGTGTACACGAGGCTCCCATGACTTGCTACCGAACACGAGGGGACGTTCAAGTTGCGAGGGAGGAGGGAGGGATCTGGAGCGAAGGGCGAGGGAAACGGGGGTCCACGCACCAGATCGGGATCCGCGAGGCCGCCATGGGCACGCTCCGTGAGATTCGAACTTCAGCGGGTCAGCGCACGAAGTGCGGATATGTTTCTGCAGAGCAGAACTTTCGAGCGCCCTAGGCGTGATCAAAGTTTGCTCCAGGGCTTGCCTGGCGGTCGTACACGCGAGCTCCCGTACTAGAAAAGAGAGAGAGAGAGAGGGAGAGAGCGAGAAAGAAAGAAAGAAAGAAAAGTGATAGAACTGCGTAGTCCGCAGCGTCAAGAGGTTGGTCGCGGTCGAGGCTACGGCGGGCTGCGCGGCCGCGAGTTGCGCCTCTACAGACGCGGAGGGAGGAAGAGATAGGGAGGCCCGCTCGCACGGTGTACGTGTTCCTAGTCGGCGCCAGCGGCCTCAAGCTCACGCCAGGAGTCGTGTGGTGGTGGCACAAACAGGTCTTCGAACGGTGCCCCAGGTGCACCTGCCATCAAAATGCCTGGCTCGCATTGTCGCCGGGCATTAACGGAAAACGACGCCAAGTGGCCCCCACTGAAACTGCGGAGCCCACGCAAAAGTGACACTCACGAAAACTGGAGGGGGAGGACCAGAGTAAACCTAAGACGCATCAACGATGCTACAAAGCACCCTCTCGTCCGAAATCCCCTCTTCACGAGCCCCCATAGGTGTGTATGAATACATATGTATACAGATATCTGTATGCATGGATGGATGGATGGATGGATGTCTGGATGTATGTACGTACGTATGTATGTATGTATGAATGCGTGTATTTATGTAAATGTGTATGGATGCGTGTATGTATGCATATATGCATGTCTACACGCATGCATGTATAACTGTATGTCTGTATATGTGTATGTGCATGTGAATGTATGCGTGTATGAGTGTATGCACGTACGAATGTAGCCATACGATGCTGGACACCTCCAAGTGGTGATGGCGGGACGGCACCCCGTGCCGAGGCCAAGTTCAGCGACATCGCCCCGTCGGCAGGGCATCAAATCTCTCTTGATGAGGTTGTGAACTTCGGGGCTGAAGTTCATGATTCTCAACTTCCAGTACCAGGACGTGCTGCGGATCCACTGCTGGGTGGCGGTGGTGAAGGTCACCCAGGTGGCCGTGCAGGGCAAGGCGCTCTACGGGCTCGACGCGGACGGGGGAAGCGCATCGATGACCTAGCTGAGCAAATCAAAAACATTACGGTTGCGATGAGTGCACTGAGCGGGACAGTGCTGCCTGGGACATCGCCAAATACTAAGAATGGGGGCCGCAAGCTCGAGCCGCCAACACTTCAGAAGATACGTCAGCTTCTTGATAAGTATGACAAGGGGAACTACACTTTGAATGAGTATCAAGTGCAGCAACGTCTCCGCGCGATGTTGCCGAGGGTCGATACTACTAAACGTGGGAAAAGCAAAGATGATTCTACTGCTGAGAATGTCGCCGCTTCTTCCTCAACGACGTCCACGAGTCCCACGCCCAAGCAGGGACCGAGGCCAATACCTAGAATTCTGACGAGCGACTGGGGGAACGACGTGCCGATCTGGGTGGCACAGTCCTTGAAGGAGCGAGTCTATGAGAATGGGAAGCCTCCTATCATTGTATGCAATACGATGGTGGAATATCATGCAGCATATGATTGGCTTACTGCATCTTGCGGATCAGCTGCCACATTCATCGTCTTTTCAATGTCTGAGAATATCCAGGGGGCTATTGCAGACGAAGTTTTGACATCTGGGGAGAAAGGTTCAGTACCTCTCAAGTGCCAGATCTACTACTACGGAGACGGCGCGCCTAGGCGCCAAGGATTACCGCAAGGAGTCAAAGATGATGATGAATACCAGGCCCCGAGGTCACCCACTACGGTGATGAGACTGACGTGTGCCAAGAATTTTGCTGATGACGATGTTTTCGGACGAGCGTCGCAGAAGCCAGCCAGCCTCCCGTCTATTGTATTCAATGCAGAGTTGTGCAGGCATATTGTCCGCACAAAGGGGGCTCTCAATTATGAAAGTGAGATCACAATGCTGCTGATCATCAAGACCGATGCCATACCAAAGTTCCTGGAGGAGAAGCTCCCGAAAGGGGTTTTCTGCAACTACCAGCAGTCCAAGATCATGCCGCGGTGGTTCAAGCAGAGGCAGGACGAGTCCGTCGACGAGTACTGGAACAGAGTGGTCGCAGCAGCGGCTACGGTTGCAGGCCGCCTTTTGTACCGCCCAAGTGATGATGCGCCCCTTGGGGTGCTCAGTGAGA